AAGATGGAAAAGCATCATCGATAAGAATGGAGGCTATTTCATTTAATAAATATTTGCTATGATATATAAATTGTTCGTTTTTTTTATAAAAAAAAGCGACATTAATTCCTTGACGACCTAATATATCATATATATATATAATATATTTTACAGTTAGTGCGATCATTCTCAAGTAAAGCAGAGTGTATACATCTTTTAGAGAAAATACAAATATTTCCAGGCACACCGCAATAATATTATTTCTATTACCGAAAGTGATATTATTGTTTGTTTCATTTATGATCGAAAGTAAAAATTTCTTAAAAGCCAATAATAATAATAAAAAAAAAAAATCCAGGAAAGGGGGGGGGGAGTAATAGCACCTGGTAACCATAGTTTTGTGAATTTTCATGTGAATTTTTTTAGTATTAATATCTTCCCATTCATTCTACCTATTTCAGTAAATGTGTGTGCGTTTATAGCAAAGCCACATCGGGTTACGTGCTTCGTCCACCGAGGGGAATCGAACTGCTGATTTTGTGGGGTCTAAAGACTTACCACTGGCTCACCGGGGGACTTTATGAAACGAATTTAAAGTTTAATATTAGGTCGTCTAATGTTATAATCGAGAAATAAATTCAAAACAAGAAATATAATATCATGAAATATGATGAACTATTATTTACATGGAAACAATTTTAAAGGATTATATTTCTATTGGATTTCTTGGGATAAGAATGGAGAGTGTACCTCAATCACTTAAACTATCGACTCTTCAATGCTAGAGTTCAGTAGAGAGATGACGGATTAGGTGATTAATTATCTACCCTATTAATAAAGTCGCGTGCCCGAATCCAGTTTGATCCCAATTTTCCTTTCTTCGGGAGCCCGGCATGGCCAGGTGGTTAGGGCGTTCCTCTCGCAATCTGAGGGTCGCGGGTTCGAATCTCCGTCCCACCAAACATGCTCGCCCTTTCAGCCGTGTGGACGTTATAATGTGACGGTTAATCCCAACGGTTATCGAAATCCGACATTTTGCGTTATAAGCCACAAGGAGCCAGAAATGATATTTCCTCTGTCGATATAGCCTAGATTTACGGTAAAAATTCATAGGTAAATTTTCAGATTTATAGTTTCATTACATATTAATTAATTGATTATTTTATTCTTAACCTATGTTGTTTACAGAAGTCACGTATGATGTTTCGAAGATATGCAAGGCAAAAAATAATATATCAAGTTCGACAGTTAAATTTTTCTGCGTAACACTAGCCACAAACATCCAGACAAACGATACGAAATACAGGTTTTAAAAACAGCTTAACAGGCAGATGTTAAAATGCAAAAGCTAATGAGCAGGGTGTGTTAATGATATAATTGCTGAAAAGTACAAATAGGGTATAAAACATTGTGTAAACTTGGTGAGATGCAAATAACTTTTCAACAATTTAGTACTTTCTATAAAAAAATGCTTTTGAAAAATATGACTTTTCATTCGTGCTTTTAATTACGTCTTTAGAAACTGCGAAGTGTGTTTGGAACATCTAGTTAGATCCGTGTTTATCACGAGGATACTTTATGTTCTGCGACATTGTTAGAGTTTTTAAATGTGAAGTGTATTTGGAATATCTAGTTAGATTCGTGTTTATCACGAGGATACTTTACGATCCGCTACATTGTTAAACTATTGTTAGAGTTTTTAATTGTAAAGTGTGTTTGGAATATCTAGTTAGATTCGTGTTTATGACGAGGATACTTTATGTTCTGCTACATTGTTAAACTATTGTTAGATGTTTTTAATTGTAATGTGTGTTTGGAATATCTAGTTAGATCCGTGTTTGTCACGAGGATACTTTATGTTCTGCTACATTGTTAAACTATTGTTAGAGTTTTTAATTGTAAAGTGTGTTTGGAACATTTAGTTAGATCATGAAGATACTTTATGTTGTGCGACATCATCAAACTATTTTTTTATCGTTAAAAGTTTTAGCTAGTGTATATGAGTTCCTAAGTTCTTACAAAAAGCGTCAAAGCACTGATGTATCTTCTTTATATTCTTGTTAGGTGTGCAGACAGTATTCGTATTAACGCCTTCGACACGTAAGTAATTACTTACGTGTTTCCATGGAGAGATTAAGTTATGCAATACATTAAAGAAGTATTGTATATACTAAATTCTTTACTTCAAAATTAAACAAAATTGTAATAGCGATGGTATTCCGAAGTTGAAAATATTGATTATCTGTTATAACACTGATATATTTCTGAAAATAAAAACATAAAAATCCAACGCAAGGAGTATTCATGAATTCTTAATAAAAACAGAGGAAGAAGGAACAAAATGAAAAAGTTGCCTTTCAAACTCAACAATATCCCCAGCCTGTATGATATTGTAAAGTATTGTATATATTAATATTATATGCACATGCTTAGAATATGAGAGAACACAATGAGTAATATTTAAGTTTCATTATTTGGTTTGTATATATTAATATTTGAGATTCAACACCCACGTCAATATTATATGCACATGCTTAGAATATGAGAGAACACAATGAGTAATATTTAAGTTTCATTATTTGGTTTGTATATATTAATATTTGAGATTCAACACCCACGTCAATATTATATGCACATGCTTAGAATATGAGAGAACACAATGAGTAATATTTAAGTTTCATTATTTGGTTTGTATATATTAATATTTGAGATTCAACACCCACG